TACTTGGCATTATTGTGTCAGTACTTTGTGACGAGCATTGGCCTGAATCAGAGGAAACTAGGAGTATTATAAGGTTAGCTCATGACCTTCCCTTTCCATCAAGTATCAGTCAGTGAAATGTCTGTATGCTTGCTCCAACGCGCCTGTAGTACACCTGTGGGCAGTCTGATGAAGTCAACATAGAAAAACCAGCATGTTGAGAGTTAGCCTCTTGAAAGCCATTGCCATTATCATGGCTATTGATTGAAAACAGGACTTCTCAGATATGTTTTTTTCCTCCAGTACTGTTGTTGCTAGTTAGAGAGTGACAAAGACCACCAGAGACAGCATCAGCTTCCTGCTCTGTTACAGGCTGTGTAGCATTTTGTATTAGGATTTGCATATACCTTCGTAGCCCCCATCTTAAGCTACAGGGTAGAGATAGAAAACTATTTGGATTTAAGATTACCACAGCAAAATTTTTACCCACACTAATACCGCTCATCAGTACCTTATACATCTCGTTAATTTTAGTGGGAATCTTTTCTTGCATGACTTACTTATGAATTTTGCTCAGTCCTGCTAGGAACTGCCTTGAAATCATAACCTATCTTCAGTTTAGAGATATACATTTTGGTTACGAATAGTGAGAACTAATTTGAACGACATAATTCCTTACCGGGATATGCAACATCTGTTTTGACTGAATGGGAGTTTTAGGCACATTAAAATTCTGCAGTAAACTGCTTGTGTCATTCTATCTTATAAAAGTGAAATTCACTGCAGTTTCATTATCAAAGTGCTGAGAAGGAGATAAATTTTTATTCTTTTAATAGATTTTCAGCTTGCTTCCACATAATGCATCTCTAAAATTCACTTTTAAAAAATCTCTTGTATGTAAAATTACAAACTGATGTGTATATAAGCTCAGACACTTGCAATTTTTGCCAAAAAATTTTGCCAGAAAAGGAACAGATTAATAAATGCTTTGTGGATGCAGAATAAACTCTGAACAAGAAACGAATGAATGGAAATATCAACTTTCTTTTTTCAGGTTATTGGACGATTTTTCAACTGCTACAAATAGAATGTGGAGCCCCAAGAAAATTTCCTACTTGAACTTTACTGTCTTTAATTCTGATTTTAATTTTTTAATGTACTATTCTACTATACTTTGCAATAAAACAGACTAAAACAAATATGCCAGGAAATCCAAGTGCGGCCTTTCAGAGAATCCTACGGAGAGCAGGATAATTATAGACTGCCTGCCAAAGTGCAGATTTTGTCAGTGGAAGAGAGACCCATGTTAACCTGTATCATTTCTTCCTTTCCTTTGATTCTGCAGAAGCTCTTGAGGACAGCTTAGCACACTGACTCCAGAATAACTCCTAGGCTATGCCAGTATAAGTAAGAACAAAACAAGCCCCAGAGCTTCTGATATACATAAGTGTAGTAGCTTCTTTTCTTGCCTTTAGAGAAGCTTCATTCCTGTGCTGTGTTATTACACTGTACTTTTCATCTCTGGTCTTTTTGTCTCATGTTTTAAATATATTTTAGCAAACTGATTTGTATAAATTGAGTAACTTTCATCTTTAACTTCAATATTTTGAAGATTTTTCATTTATGGTATCTGTTCCTGTTCCTGCAATCTGTTTTCCATTAATAATATAGACGAATTAATATAGTATGCACAGTACTTTTATTTCTTTTTGCTGTTTTTTTTTTGCCCTGGCATATTCTTTCATTTTGTTGTTTTTTGTATGAATAGAAGATGGCTCATATGAAGAGGATATGGGGTGTCTATATTGACAAGACAATGCAGAATTAGGCTACATAGCTTTGAAGACAAGTGGCAGTTGAAGGATTTGAAGTGTGGCATCTCCTCAAGGATCTCTTGTTTCCCATATGCTTTGATGCACAGGTGGTACCTTTTGGCAAGATCAATTCTAATCACAGGGTAGAGTGCCATGAGTCTGCTGATGATACTCAGCTATATCACTTACCCCTCAGCTCTGAGTTCTTTCTCTGCCCTGGAGTAATCCTTGACCGAGATCTCCAGGTGGGTACATCAGAGCTGCCATGTCCTCAACCCTGCAAAAAAAGACTGCTCGTTGAATTGTTGATCAGAGACAATTCTCTCACGTGTGTGCCCACTGGCAGAAGGCATCTATTTGGAGGCATAGTCAGATTAAGAGTTTTGGCATCGTTTTTGAGAGTTTCATTTCCCTGCAAAGACTGCTGTCTGGGTGCCAGGCATATGATTTAGTTTTTTTAAGTTGCACAGCTTTTATTGGCTGTGACTTCTTTAAATTTCATTCTGACTTCTGAATAACAAGAATTGCCCTCCTGCCCATGAGGCTTTATTACTGTAATTCCCTGAGTAGGGCTTGTAGCAGAGCTTTTCTGCAGTGTGCCTCAGAAAATAGTAAACTACTAGCTCATCCCTTCAAGTAACTGTGATTCCCTGATTAATGCCAGTCCTGCACTGATTCTCCATAAAGCAGCAATATTGACTTAATTGATACCACTCTATTCTTGTTGCTTTTGAGTTCAAAGTTGCCTTGAAAAATCAGTCTAATATGTAGCTTGATACCAGCCACCTTTTGTTTCGCAGAGGCAATGATTATCAACTGTTTACTATGAAACACACGACATGTGGGCAAGCTTCCACACATTTGTGTTAATATCCAGATCTTTCTCAGTTGTTATTATTGGTCATAGATTCTGTAATCTTAAGATAGGTGAATGTAAGGAAAAAAATAACACTGTTTTGAAAGCCTGGTATACAAATATCTGATATACAAATAATTATGCCAGAACTAGTTAACAAATAGTTCTGTGAGCAGCGTAAATAATGGAGCATGTTTGTAATGGACTCGTTGGCGCTCTCGAGGTGCTCTCCAGGGTGGATTCTCAAGTGTTTAATAAGAGATGAGCCTATGTCGCTGCCATTTCTCAGTGGAAACTCTAATAATCTCTCTCTGCTACCTAGCTGCCTGTTTTCATGAAACTTTATATATCTGAGCTTTCTGTCCCTCTGTCAAATATGGTTGAAATTAGCTAGCAGTTTCAAATTTCTTTGGAAGAGAGAGGCAGGTGGGCAAACACAAAGAGAGCTGATCACATCGATCTTGTCTTCTTAGGTAACTAAGTGACTCATACATAATTTTCTATCACTCTGCAAGGAGGTTGATGTTTTGAAGAAAGTATTTCTCAGCCTCAGATAATTGTATTCAGAAAACAAAATTAGTGTCCAGACATTCAGCAACAAAGGCATTTCCTGGAACTGCAGGTAGCAATAGTGAACTGAAACACTTGATGACACATTTGTCCCATAGTCTCCATCTCTCCCAGGTTCACTCTGCGGAGGGCATCCTTCAGGAATTGAAGACAATAGATTTTCTGGAAGTTACAGACATTATTTTTGTATGTTACATAGGTAGTTGTACTAGTGGTGGAGCCAGAGGGGTATAACTTTATGAGATGGATTCCAAGGTTTTTAGCCCCATGATCCAGCCTTTCCTCTGTATGAGGAGGACGAAGCCTCCTTAAAATGCAATAGTACCCATCCACGTCAGAAAGAAGTCTGGATGCAGGAAGCTGGAGGGAGGAGAGGGCAGGGAATCCGTGAGTTGCACAGGCAAGGATACAAATGCATTTTCCTCAGGGACAGCAACTGCTACCACTGTCTTTCCATCTCAAGTGCTTGAGACAAAAAGGGTGAGTGAAACCAAACGTAAAGCACACTGAGGTGAAGATATGGCTATGAAGGAATGCACAAGGAAAATTAAAGGATCAGAATAATGGTGGGATGAAAGGAGGGCTGCCAAAGACATGAAAATATCTCACTATGGCTCAGCACTTTAGGCAACTAGTTGTCAGGAATTCCTTTCAATAGTTATAGGGTTACAATAACTGTAAAATTCTTCAATTCTCCAATAAGGACACGAAGGAGAATTAGCAAAATTCATGAAGGGAAGCGGGGAGTTCACAGAATCACAGAACAGCTGAGGTTGGAAGGTACCTTGGCAGATCATGTAGCCCAGCCCCCCTGTTCAAGCAGGGTCACTTAGAACAGGTTGCCCAGGGAAAAGTCTGTTATAAGTTCAAGTCCTTTAAATTTTTGTATGGCAGATGAGAGGAGAGAGAAGAGGCAAGTGTGGCTTCTGGAGCTGAGCTTCATGTGAATACAGAATGCCTGGGAGGTACTTTTGTTCCAGGTGGGAATCTGGATGCAGTGTGTGCCTGTGTCTTTATGAGAAAAGCCCGGATTCTTCTGGTGGGGAGCTCTGTCCTGCTGTTTCCACAGGACGAGGCCTTGATTCTTGACATCTTTATATATGGACATACATAAGCATTGGACATGTTTTGTATCCAATATCAGATTGAATGCTCTGTGTAGCTATAGGCAGAAAGTCAGAAGTTTGCCAGCTCCTGAGGACACATGGCAGCTGGGTGAACCTTTCTTCCTTTCCCAATCACTCCTATGCAACATACTGCCTTTTTTTCTGTAAATGCTCTGAAGGAAAGGTTGTATATCTCTATATTTTTATACATAACTGTAAAGCTGTAAAGCTGGAATATTTTATTGTACCTTTGTTCTCAACATAAGGAGAATAAAAATAATTGAATGACATTCAAATAGTTTTTATATTTTTTTCTTTTGTTTCTGGTTTGATATCTACGTATTGAACAAGATTACTAAGGTTCAGATTCAGCAAAGTACATTCTTAATTTTAAGAAGATGTGTAAATCAGTTCTGGTTCTGCAAAGCTGTTAAGAATGTGCATAAATGTTATAGAAGTGACATTGAGCATGTATTGAAGCACCCTCATGGGGCATTTCATTTGTTGTTTATGAAGTGTATTTCTTACACAGCCTGGATCATACTATACTGGTTCTTAAAATACTTTTGTACATTTTGAAAATGCTAGAAATATTTTAAGATATACCTCTGCCTATGGAAAAATAGATTAGGGAAAGCCATGACATTTTTTTTTGTATTTTGTTTGTTTTTAAAGTGTTCTTGTGCAATGGGAAGTTTCACAAGCACTTGCAAGAAATTTTTGTTCCCTTGGTCATCCGCTACATCGATCTCATGGAATCATCGATTGCCCAGTCCATTCACAGAGGTCTTGAACAAGAGTCATGGCAACCTGTCAAGTAAGTGCTTTCTACAAGATCTAAACAAAGCGTCTGCCTATAGCTTTCTGTCTAATCAAGTGTTCTCCCCTGCTGTCCTCTAAATATTCTATTTTTTATTATATTCCTACATTGTCTATTTCTTCACAGGAGCATCACCAACAGTCTTCCTAATGTAGCTCTTCCAAAAGTTCCAAGTTTGCCTCTTAATCTTCCACAAATACCTAGCTTTACTACACCAACCTGGATGACTTCTTTATATGACTCCACGTGTGTATTCTTCAATAACCTTCTGACTGTATGTCAGCTCTGCATGGCCTTGCTAGTGTTCTGTGCAGCTGTATTTGGATTGCATGGTGTTTATGATCTCTTAGTTGGAAATTATTGTTTCTTGGGAGTGAGCCAAGCATGGACTGGTAGTGAGTTGCGCTTTTTAGTGCCTTAAAATGTAGCAGTCTTAAACCTCAGAGCTTACAAAATCCACTTGGCAAAGGTCTGTTATAGTATGAATGGTTTTTAATACTCTAAACAACTTAATTGCCCTTCTGAATTAATAAGCAGTAGGGAACCTGCAGAATAATTGATTTTAGACCACAGTTTTGTAAAGTGAGGCAGCCTGTCATATTTTTGCATGGGTTTGATTAACTCATTGTATATACAAATTGGTTCGGAAAAGCATTTCAATAGTCGATTGCAAATATTGCCATTAGATTAAATCTCCGTGTTACAGGGAAATAGTAAAGGTTAATGAGTACCCAGAATAGAAGTACATGCACTTTTTTGTCTGTTTGGAACAATATATATTTCTTTTTATTTTATCCTCAACACTTCAGTGTCCTTTTCCAAAAGAAAGCAGAGCAGAAGTGTCATGCTCCGTGTGAATAATCCCATAGTTATATGGCAGATTAGAGGAAGACTCAATAAGAACCATGTTTTAGCTAAAATTGTATTAGAGGGAGATGTATGTGAGTTACTTCAGAAAATATTCATGCATTCAAAATAGAAATCTTAATAATATGATTTCAAGACAAAAAATTTCCTCTCTAGTTTTATGATAGACTTCAATATTCCTAACAAGTGAACCCTGGTCCATTACTGTGAGAGTTGATAGTTTGTGTTCAGACAGACTTCTGGCACTTGACTGTTGATATTGCGGTAGTTTTTCTGCCAATTCCCCTAAGAAGCTGTCAAAATTCCTCCTAAACCTTGGCTTTGTACCTTTTGCTTTTACTATAATAATGCTAAATTTCTCCTGATGTACATATGCTAGTCATTTCAGCTTTGAATACAAACTAATTGGTCTTCTGCTACTCAGATTTCTTTCCGTCTAGTTATTCACATTCAATGGGCGCTCTTTTTTTTAAAGGGTAGGCTTCAGAGTTACGAGTTGCTATAATCTTAGAAGTGATCTTCTAACAATCTGAATTATAGCAGTCCTATGCAGTAAAAATACCTTGTGGGTATTAAAAGTATGTGTATGTTTAATAATATGGAATTTATAATTAATTTATACTAAATATGGATTCTGGTTATAGGGTTGTAGTGGTAGATGAAGCACTGGTGTTGCAAGTGCTGTTTCTAGGTTGTATTGTCAAAAAATAAGTGAGTATAGTGAAATTCAGTCATTGGCTCAGCCCCCTTGCACAGCTTCTGACATCAAGCTACACAGCGTGTATGGAAAGATATGAATTACCTCTGAAAACTAATCAGATTTTCAAAGCATTCAGTGAACGCTGAGGTTCATGTGAGCTGTTCCCAGTGAATGCTTGCCAGCAGTAGCTATCATTCTGCTGCTTCTCAAAGAAGTGGGAGTGAGCACCTTTCATGGTGGGCATGGTGTCTTCAGTGTGGCCTCTGTAAGGCCATTCCCTTTAGGAGGCATCTGCCCCCAGCTGTGCCACACAGCATTCTGGGAAAAGAGGTCTGCCAGGGTACTGGCTGCATTGTAGGCTCTTTTCCACATTTTTCCCCCCAAAAGTAGATCTTTGAAGTTGGATTTTATGAAGTGGGTATAAATTTGCTATCAAAATTATAGATAGGGTAATGCTATCTGCCTAATACTGTGGAATTCAGGTAGTATTTTAAGAATCAGTTGACCTAAATTCTACTGAAAGTCAAAATGCCTTCTAGGAATGGTTAGGTATTTCATTTGGATCAAAAAAATAAAACCAATTGGAGTGAAGATGCTGCAGGCCAGTTATCGTCCCTCCCAAGCTAATGATTTTCCTCTTTGCTGCTGGTTACAGTGCTAGCTTCCAGGGAAGGAGGTAGTTTGCCCTTGCTCCTTATACTGCATGAAAGGAGTAGGGTCTTATTTCCTTCTGACCCCATGCCATCCTGGTCAGGAAAAACAAAGCTTCCTCTTTCCAGTTAAAATTCCAATGGAGAGTAACCAAAAACCTGAGCTCCAGTACCTGTTTAGCAAAACCCAGAGTTTCTTGTCGGTTTTCCCTGTCAGTGTGACGAACCTTAAATGGACTGACAGACTGGGCATAGATTCAACAGAAGGAGAGAGTACTCAGCTAAGTTTCGGAGCCTGGGCTCTCCCTTGTCATCTGTTGCAGGTGCCTTCTGCCCTCCACTGACTCCATCAAATCTTTTTCTCCCAGTTCACGCTGCTGCATCCTCTGGGCCACACGGCTGAAGCTGTGGCAAGATGATGACTGAGTACATCACTGAGTTCTGCTAGATTTCTCTCTTCCTCTTTAAAAGTGATGATTTTGGCCAGTTAATCATTTTCAATCTGAATTACGCAATGAAGAGTTTACAGGCAAAAAGAATGAGAAAAAATAGTCTGTGAGTCAACTCTGAGTTACATTTGCATGTTTATTAAGAATGCCAAGTCCTACCTATGTTTATTTTTTAATGGTACAGGAAGAGTTTCCATCTTCTCTAAACTTCACTAACATATAAGCTTCAGTATGGACTCTCTATATGAGTCTCTATTCAAAGAAACTCTTAAATTCATGTTTAAGCCCATTCCTGTTCAGCAAAGCTGTTAAGTGCCAACCTTTTTTGCTGGAAGAGCTGAAAATAGTTAGCACAGTTAAGCTTTTCTTTGCATGCTTTATGGATAAATTTTAAAATAGATTTTCTCTATCACTTAAAAGTCACTACAATTCTTTTGAACATTACTAGAGAATATTGCATATAATTTTTAATTAAAAGTTGCTGTTTATATTTTTTCCTTGATCTCATGTTTTGGATCAGTAAACATATACTCTTTATAACAGCACTTAGGAGGATCATTACCTCATTTTCAGTTGTTTTTGCTTAACCTTTTTTTGGGCATTGGAAAGGGAGATATTAAAAGAGAAAAGTGTTACTTACATGTAGTAGTCTGTTTTTCTTGATTAGTCTCAGGAGAGGACAACTCAGAGGATGCCTTGGCTAGACAAGCAGAGCACTGTGAATTGCAGCTACATTTGGCTAAATACAGCATACTGACATGATAAAACAGCTTATATATTGTGTAAAAGCTCTTAATCAGCCAGAAAGAGTTTTTTCTTAATTACTCATTACTTCAAATGTGTTACTTTAAACTGCGCTTGTCTTCCATTTCATATTTTAAATTTCATTTCTCTGCCTCTTTTGGACCTGGATTAAGTTGGGTTTGTGGGTAGTTGTAATTATTTATGGTTTCATTTATATATTATTATTTTCAGTACAGACATGAGATAGATTCACTAACCAAAAATATCGTAAATGCAGACCTGAAGCTCTCCACTGTTCTAGTACATTAAGTTCAGCCAAACTCATGGATAGGAAAACATGTGATAAGATACATGCTCTCACAGGCACAGTTCAGTCTTTCTTCCACCCAGAGCTGGCAGCAAGCGAAGGAAATGTGTCAGCTATATTCTTTAGCTATATTGAGCTACAGAGGACTGGTTGGAGTGGTTGCTGTGTTCTGTTTGCGATATGAAGGGATGTGGTCTGAATATGTCTGAGCTCTCTTGCCGGACCTGACTGTGTGCTTGTGCACACCGAATACGTCAGCAGGCCACATTTCAGCTCTGTTTTCAGGGATTGCGTCTGTAGTGCTGTGTATGCTCCTGCCATGGTGCTTGCCAGCAGTAAAGTGGAAGGACTGTGTGGCTGGTGTTTTTAATGATGGGTAGTTAAAGGTACAAACATAGGACTGATGGAGTTGTGAAAATGCTGAGTTTATCTACTTTCTGTGGAAAAAGGAGTTTTGATTTCAAGGTAGGTATAGTTCCTGTTTAGCTTTCTGAAAGATTATTATGGGCCAGATTTCTTTCTTCCAAAAATACTTTCATACAGAGATAAAGAAGAATCAAGGAACATGTTTTGGTTACTGAAGCCTTAATTTGCCTAGTCTTGAACTAAATAGGAGGAAATGTGAGGTAATACTTTTCGTAAGATTTTTAAGGGATCATACACAAGTTCTTGCCACAGGTCTGTTCCATCATTTCCCCCATTTGCTGATATCGTGGCAAGCACTGTTGACTGTAATAATTGAGAAAAAATTCTCAATTGTCCTTCTGAGCCCTGAATATACATGCGCATAAAGGGGGTAGAGCTAGAGCTCACAAGCTGAGGGCTGTCACAGGAAATAGAGCTGATGCCCTGTCTTTTGAAAACACTCCTCATAAAACACTAATGGGTAATAATTCAGTAATAACCTTAAAAAATACAATGACAGTAATTTGTAAAATTGGTATCGTTGCTCTTGGTAAATTCTACAGAAACAGACAGACAGATGATTTTGGATCTTGTGATTAATTCAGAATGTCCTTAGATATTTGTTATTTCTCCTATATTTTCGTATCCCGAGCTCCTCTATGGAATGTGACAACTAGGCAAGAAATGACGTATTCTACATCGACTCTGGAGTCAAGTGTGTGCTGACCTCGCAGCCAGTATGTCTTATTAGTTGACTGCTTGACTAATTGCGGCTGCTTGGGTAGCAGGCAAACCTAGTAAAAAGCTGTGTCTCTCAGCTGTCAGTAAGTAGGTGCTTAAGAGACTGTCTGCATCTCCTTTTTTTTTTTTATTCTGCAGGGTCTTGAAGAAACATAATGTCTTGGATACCTTTTTTTGCTGTGTTTAGTATGTCAAAGGCAAAATATCATAGAATAATTTAGGCTGAAGTGGACCTCTGGAGATCATCTATTACAATCTCCTAGGCAAAGCATGACCAACTATGATGTTAAATTGCAGTAAAAAAATTGAGGATGGGCATAATATTTGCCTTTTTCAGTCATTGGGGACTTTCTCCTATTGCCACGACCTGATAAAAAAGAACAGACAACTAGACAATACTTTTTGCACAAAAAATAATACTTAGAGCTTAAGTGTTGACCATCGAAACACTGGAGTTCATGCTTAATTTTAAATATGTAAACAATTAGATTGACTTTAGTAGTAACATAAATTAGCAGTTTGATTTCCTGGTGGAGCGGTATTATTCCATCCATTAGATTGCATAGCTGTACCATATTTGTTGAAATAAAAACTTTTCACCAGCAACGATTTTGTCCTGTCCCCGCACAAAAAATGTTTCTGCAATAACGCACATAGATTTGAGTGCCTTGGTGGTATGCTTCTTCTGGCAGAGAGGCTATATTCCCATGCAGTGGAAACAGTCTTTCATCACAGGGTGTCCTGAGAGTAAGCTCAGTAAAGTGTGAAATCTGAATTTGGCTCTTCTTCATGTTATTTTATACAGTATTAAGTACTGAAGTGACATAACTAGGTCCTAATAGGGAAAACAAATCTACTAACTGGAGAGCTGCTTCAGGGTATTGATGTATGTGCTGAAGATTAGTATTATTTCTAATGCTTTTACTGGATAAGGGCCAGAAAAATCCTGAAGTCCGGATAAAGCAAGTATCTGGTACACATAACATAGCAAGCTGGTTGAAATCACAATTCTCTGCAGCAGTTAACAAACAAATTAGATATTTGCACCTAGATGTGTGATCTAGGAACAGTTTTTTTCTGTTGTAGTGGTTATTTTCCTTCCTCATCTTACTAGTATAAGACATTAGTAGAATTCAAACGTCATTGACCAATGCTGAATAAAAAATTGAAGAATGGGACCTCAAAATCATATGAAAAGAGAATGAATGAATTAGTATTTCTCACAGAATGAATAGTGTTTCATGAACCTGTATCTATTATTGCATTTATTATAATTGTGAACCGTTATTTGGTAGTATAATGAAACCAAATTAAGTGGCTACCAGGGAGTGAACGTGCATAAGAATACATTGATGTTATTGAGAGTGCATGAGTCCTCCTGAGTCCTAAAGAATTTCATTTGGAATTCCATTAGGCTAAAAGAAAAAAGTATTAAAGAAGAAAAAATGGTTAAAGTGTACAATCTGATAATGAAAAATGGTAATTCTGTTTCTTAAGAAAGTAAAAGAATCTGTATATTGTCCCCATTGGTGTCACTATATATTTTGTCTCCCTCTTTTACCCTGTCCCTCACATACATTGACTTAGTTATTTTAGAAGCAAATAGTATGTGCAATGTAGCATCTACAACTTCACTCATTGCCAGTGTACATAGCAGATATAAAGAAATCCTCAACATCTGGTTATCATATAGCTTAAGAAACAATCTAACAAAAATATAAACTTGTTGGGAAGTTTTAGTGGTTCATTATTCATATTTTCAATTAAACTTAGCAGCATATAGAAATGCTTTCTGTTCAACTCTAACCTTAACAGGTAACGTCCCTCTGCAAGTTTCCTAGCAGTTTCAAGGGCCTTTTTCTGGTTTCTGCTGATTTATTTCAGGGGTATAATACCATGCAAAGTTAAGAATTACTGTTTAAAATAAGTGGGGAAAATAGTCAGGACATGAAAAAGGCCGCTCTTAAATTGCGGAATATGCTCCTATGCGTAGTAAAGACATTAAAACAAGCATCGTTTAAAATAAAAAGTGGAAATCGCCATTGGGCAGATGGACCCAATGGTTTTCGCAGGCAGAGAAACTCATTGCTCTCAGCTTCTCTCCCATTACCCAGCCCTTACTGGCTCACCTGTGCCTAGCATTGTGGCCTTTGTGGCACGGAGACAGCGTTGCAGAAGACAGCAATGGCTTGGAGGTAGTAGCAGCATTAAGATAGCAGGGAAAGGAGGCAGCTGTGTGGATCTGGAAAACAGTGAGGCGCTGTAAGACTAAAGCAGTGCTCCTGCTGCATCCATGCTGCCTCTGCAGAGCCCTGACTATGTGCTATGCTTCAGCCTTTGCTTCACTTTATCACGGGCATGGCTAGCAGGTGCGAACTGCTGTTAGTGCTACTATGTTTGAGGATGTAGATTAGTCAGTCAGATATTGGAGGTCCTTTCTGTTTTTTGGTTATTTGGCTTTTTTTTTAATCTGACATTGCTGGGTCCAAAGCACACTCAGCACTCAATTCCTTCCATGAGAGCTGTAGTCACTTAACAGTTTGATAATTGTGTGCTTTTGTCATGAGGTAGAAGAAAGAAAACGGTAGTTGTGACATATGTAAGCTCTTTGAATCTGAACTGAGACTGCCAAGCTGAGTTTTTGTTGCTTGAATTTCTACAAAGCACTAACATGCTGGAGTGCCGTGTGGCAGAGTGTGATGCTGCGCAATAACCCAGGCTTGGAAATATAACATGTCATGAGAATATACTTAATCTACATTTACAGTGGAAGTATAACTGTAGTTATTGCTAGGATTAGCCCCAAGTTGTTGTGTCTTGACACAAACAAGCACCTTAAAATTTATCACTTTGTTCAGAGTGTTGTTTAAAATTGTGTCGATAATAGGAGATGATATAGAGCCATATGAATCCCCTGTTTTGCTTGTGTACAAATTTCTTTAAAATACTATCTGTTCTTGTTTTCCATTGGGATATGATATTATCCCCTCAGCTAGAATTAATGAGCATTTATCAAGGGAGTATTTGTCTGGATCTCTTTCACGATATTATTACTAGCATCCTCATTTCTTTGGTAGGTTTATCTACCTGAATTATGACAGCAAGCAAATATATATGCAAAATGTTCACTATTTTGGAAAAGGTCTGAATTTTCTGTCTGAATTTGAAATTTGAGCTACTTCATTTTCTATGTTCTCTGTCATCCCACCTACCTCCCTAACCTGTTTTACTTCTCCGGTAACAGGTGAGAAAACTTTACTTCTTTCACGCCAATGTAAATTTTCTGTGAGCATTCTCACATTCTTGAAATAAGAATGTGCTATGAGATACACTGAAGTGAAGGAAGAAGATGGGGTGATAAGGAAATCTTATTCCCTTGAATAACTCTTTGGGGGCTGGGATAGACATCCATACATTTATCTTCTGTTTCTTGGGGATTTTGTTTTGTTTTGTTTCTTACAGCAATGGCTCAGCTACATCAGAAGATCTTTTTTGGAAACTGGATGCTCTGCAGATGTTTGTTTTTGATCTTCACTGGCCTGAACCAGAATTTGCCCACCATTTAGAGCAAAGACTTAAACTCATGGCCACTGACATGATAGAAGCCTGTGTCAAAAGGTATAGTTGAAATGATCAGCTGAAAGTTGGGAGAGATTGGACAGTAGGAACAACCATACTGGCTCTCAGAGGTGCATCTACACCAGAATTCTGTTTCCTGCAATGGTCAGTAGTAGATGCATAAGGGAAAGACCGTGAGAGTCAGGGCAAATATAAAGAGATGATAATACGTGAGTTTCCGAGCTTCTGGCAATCAGCAATTTAGCAACATCCAGGAAATACCAAGGAGAATTTCCACGTATGTTGTGAACAGTCCCTTGGAAGTCAATAAATCAAAGCTTTTTTCTATTCCGTGTTTCCACAGCAAATATTAACAAATCTCAGAATTCTGCAAAAAAAAAAAAAAAATCCTTTTTTTGGGTACATTTCACTTCTCTATTATCATATTACATTTTATATTCAATTAATAATGTTAATTCATTTGTCATTATTTTAGAGTACTAGCTCTAAGAAAGATGATACAAACTAAATAATATATAGCATTTCTGCATTTATATAATAAACAAAAGAGGGGAATCTGTAAGTCATCCAACAAAAACTAAATTTGATATCACTAAGCTTCTGGAAATTATAGAATGTACAGAAAACATGGTATTGCAATTTTCCTAAGCTGAATCTTATAATTATGGGTATATTCTTGCAAATTAAGCGTAGGTGATCCAGAAGGATCTCTGCCATCAGTTTCAGTACATATCATTGAGTTTAGGGGTAACATATATACGCACATCTGCGTGCTCACACGCACACATATGTATGTATATACATGTATGTGTGTATGTATATATACATATATGTAAGTGTATGTATGTATATATGACTAGAAACTTTACAAGGATTTCCTATTAGGTGCTTCAGAAGCCATGATCTTACATACAGAGAAAACTTAGTTTGGACAGATAAAAAAACTAATTTAAAAAAAAAAAAGAATGGCAGGGTCGGGGAAACACCTACAGGCTGGAGGCTGACCTGCTGGAAAGCAGCTGTGCGGAGAAGGGCCTGAGGGTCCTGGTGGACAAGCTGACCATGAGCCAGCAATGTGCCCTTGTGGCTAAGAAAGCCAATGGCATCCGGGGCTGCGTTAGGAAGAATGTTATCAGCAGGTGGAGGGAGGTGATCCTCCCCCTCTGCTGAGCCCTGGTGAGGCTGGAGTACTGTGTTTAGTTCTGGGCTCCCTAGTACAAGAGACATGGAGCTCCTGGAACAAGTCCAGTGAAGGGCCACAAAGATGATGAAGGAACTGGAGCACCTCTCCTGTGAGGAAAGGTTGAGAGAGCTGGGCCTGTTCAGCCTGAAGAAGAGAAGACTGAGAGGAGATCTGATCAATGTGTGTAACTGTGTGAAGGGAGGGTGTCAAGAAGATGGGGCCAGATTCTTCTTAGTGGTGCCCAGTGACAGGACAAGAGGCAACAGGCTCAAACTGAAGCACAGGAGGTTCCATGTGAACATGAGGAAAAAGTTCTTTCCTGTGAGGGTGAGAGCGCACTGGAACAGGTTGCCCAGAGAAGTTGTGGAGTCTCCTTCCCTAGAGATTTTCAAAAGCCATCTGGACACAGTTGTGTGCAATGTGCTGTAGGTGACCCTGCTTGAGCAGGGGGGTTTGGACTAGACAATCTCCAGAGGTCCCTTCCAACCTCAGCCATTCTGTGATTCTGTGAAAAGAGCTATTTAAGAGAGTCAATTAGAAAATATGGATTGATAAAGGAAGCTAAAGAAACAAATAACCATTAATGTCCACTAAGGCTAAATCTGGTAACATAATGTGTTCTTATGTATGTATGTTCTTTTAAACACAAAACGACCAAAAATAACCTTAGGCTTAGTATATGGTAGGGCTACACTGATGAAATCATGGAAAAAAAGGTAGAAGCCACACACACTTCTCTCTAATTTTGAAATTAAGATCTCTCCTACATAATATAGGGAACGGAATAATAGTTTAAGATCCATACCTAAGGAAGGTATGAGACAATAGCTATTAAAATTAAAGATCTCCAAATCAATCACATAAGCATATATCCAGCTATTGTAAAGAAGTTGGCATAGGAGCTCTGTCAACTACAGTATCTAACAAATCTTAAAAAAAATGGCAAAATCTGAATTTTTTACATTGAGTAATATATTGATTATATTGGCTTCAAGCCTGGGGAAAAAAAAAAAAAAGAAATCTTTGATTTGGGTCTCTGTCAACAGGATTAAAATGTAAAGATATACATAATTATTACTAATTAGAATAAGTTATTGAAAAGTGCATCTTTTAAAATGAATCTTTTGTCTTTTTCAAGATTATTACAGGCTAATTTGACAAAGGCAACTGCATTAATATAATATACTTGGATTTCTCCAAGGCAATGAACCTAATGCCACGTGTTATCATTATCTAACACTTTGTACCATACAGATTTAATTATGTGGATTTTAATGGCACACACAAAACAGGTTAAAAATAGCTCACTTCCAGGATCACAACCAGCAGCTGAAAATAAGAGTTATTGACATAAAGGCATTACAAAAATGATTCCTCCTAGATCAGTTTTTGGTTTGTGATCTCAGTCCTGATATCTTTGCTGCTCACTTTTGTAGAGATATAAAGGATTCTGGTGGCAATAAAAGAAAGTTTAAGTAACATTACAGAATGAAAATGTTAGTATATAAAATGTATTAATACTTTACTATTCATACCTAACACACTAATGTTAACCCAATGAAGTATGTCTTAAGGCCGTCAAAAACAAAGTATGCAATGTAACAAAGAAGGTAAACTGTAACCATAGGATGGATTGTATTAGGCAGTAGCAACTTAGAAAAGAACTGTGGAGAACTATTCTGTTAGCTCTTATTGTGATCCTAATATGATCTAGAAAACATTTTAAAATTGAAATAGGATGTTTCTGTTCCCATCTTATTAAAATATTGTATAAATTTCTGGTACCCACATATTAAAATAAGGATGGAAATATAATGTTATTTTTATACTTTTGTATTCTGAACTATTACCAAATTTAATCTCCATTTATTTCAGTAACATGACTCCTTATGTACACTGATGTGAGAAGAAAATAGGTTTTGTGTATTATGTATCTCAAGATACATCTTGTATTTCAATACAAATAGTAATCATTGTTTAGTAATATTTAACTCTATTTTTCTTTAATTAAATTGCCTTTTCTTTTAAAGCTAGAGGAGGTATTTGGGGGGTTATTTTTTTCACAAGCAAGTATGTGTTACAGTAAATGAGATACTGCACTTTAGTATAGAAAAGATGAACAATGTGGGACATTTTCATTGTTTAACATTGCTCATAGCTGTCATACAAGGAAGTATATTATTATCTAGTAGGCAAAAAGATAAAACCTTTATTATTCAATTGAATTGGCTAATGCAGTACAGAACCTTGAGATTACCATCAATACAATTGTCTATTGAATGGGTGAATATTCTGCACTTACAGAATTGTATTTCTAAAATCTTCTCATGTGCATGTGTATTGTTCAGTCAACATGTTGAGTAAGATTTATGAACCTATGCACCAGGTCTTCAGAATTATCAGAGAATTATTCATGTCATTAATTTGTTTTTTAATGAACAGAACAAGAATTGCATTTGAACTGAAGTTGCAAAAGACAAACAAATCAACAGACCTGCGTATTCCTTCTTCACTGTGCACAATGTTTAATGTCTTAGTTGATGCCAAAAAACAGACAGCTAAACTCTGCATTCTGGATGGGGGGCAAGAGGTAAGTGGAATTTTGTATGTTTACATTCTATGTTCAGTTAGTTTCAAATATCTCATACTGCACACAACCTTTAGTAGATTAATTTCAAACTTAGTGAAATGTGTCATGTAGCTCCGTTCAGGGAGCATGCGTAGACTGCTTCCTAGAAGCATTGATCAAGGCACAATCCCTCATCTTCCACCAGAGAAGACGCAGAGGGCTTCTGTGATTTAATTGATTTTACCTGTGCATCTGTAGAACATTCAGAGGATTTCTTGACTCAGTCTCTCCAGGAATTTCTCTTGGGTCGCAGCAGAAAATCAGCCCACTTCAGGACTGTTTCATAATAAAGCCAAAGATTGTTCTTTGCAGCTAGGTTTTAACCGGGTAAGATTTGTTTTTAATTTGCTCATATGCCTGGCATTTATGCCTATATACGTGCTGAAAATATTATACACTGAGGAAAGAAAGGATCAGGTAATTTAATGAGATTTTTTATTTGATCTCCCAGGACAGAGACCATTTTGGCAGTAGTATATTAATAGGACTGTAGATACTCCACAGTGGAGTGGAGTATCACTGATGTGTTTCTTTGAAGGATATGAAGATTGCACTGATTACTGTCCTTCCCATGTTGTTCCTTGGCAGGAATAATCTGTGAAGTGAAAAAATATTAACTATGTGGACTGGGGAGATTACCAGCATAAAATTAAAAGTGTTCTTGCAGTGGTAATACATTAGCAGTGCAATTTTGTTTGATTTAGTTTTGGAGAAAAGCTAAAGAGTTGTCAAATTTGTCAACAAAAAAGTATGTCTGCTTTAAGCAGTTTCACTTTTACATTTTTTGGTCATATTGTTTCTGTTGATTTTCCATTTCTGTACTGTGCTCTTCATTTTATGGGCTCATCTTTTTAAATTAGTGTATTCAATGTAATTATTTTCTTTTTTTTTTTTTCAATTTAATGAGATATTCATCATTTTCCTGTTCTGCCCTGTCATCTCTATTTTTCCTTTTGGTTTTCCGTGATATGAACCAGTTTGCTAGTCAATGGGTAAGTGTCTTTTTATTATTTTTTTTTACCTACATTTTCTTCTCTGGTTATTAACTGCCATTGTTTATTTTAGAGTGATATGTTGCTTTTATCGCTATTTTGGTAACCTAGCTCTAGGATTTCCTTTACAGACTGCCCTTGCTAGACGCTGGTTGTCAACTTCTGAATTCTTCTTTCCTCATTCATCCTCCTCGGGTGGGTCCGGAAGAATTCACTCTTCTGCTCTTCAGATACAATGTCTTGTCTTACTGAGTCACAAACTTTTGTACTTTTTCAGCTCTCACTAAAGCACAGTAACAACAAACAACTTGCTGCAGGCTCATCAGAAGTAAGCCACAATGACCTTAGGCTGGTGCTGCAAGTTCATCTTTTACTTAGCGCCTGAGCAATGACCTGCAAACGCACGCATGCATACTCTTCTTAAGGGAAAAACAATACCAATACATTCATAGAGACCTTCAGACAAATAGTATAGTTCTGTTCTCCACAGACCCTCCGTTCCTCTCTTCTGCTCTGGAGGATGCCTTCTGCATTGTTAGCCAGTCCTCCTTAGAGCTAAAGTTTGGCATTCCCACTTACCTTTTGGACTGCAGACTGTCACCACATCCTCTTTAGGAATCTGCTCATTCTCTGGATTTTCAAGCCCCTTCATTCACTCTTCACATGACTAAAACAGAAATAGTCCTTACTCCCTGCTAGGTCTGACCATGACAGGCAAAGCTTCCTGTGCTTCTTTTCAGTGCAAAAGCTGCCAAATTTAACACACCTGTGATGAAATACATACTTCTTTCAAAATCCCCAAATTAAACTTCATCCCAATCCATCTAGTAAACCAAAGGGTTCTCAAATTCTTCACATATCAGAAATTATCAGATAATGTGGAAACTTCCTTCTTTGTCATGAACTTTGAATTATTTTCTTCTGATTTCTCCTGTTCTAAAGGCTTTTTTGGAAGAGTAAGACACAATAGGCTTTTCAGTTGCTTGTACTTGGTATCACAAATTTTTGAAACTTTTGACAACTTCTTGTACTTCTGTAATCATCCCTGTGTGTCAAAGAAGGCAGAAGAGCATCTCGTAACATAATTAGTTGCATCTAGTCTCCTTATAGGGGCTCTGGCATTTCCAATTACTGCTGTCTGGCCACTTGGTCTCAATACCTTTTCCATATTACTTTTCTTTCCCTTTTCCTCCTTTGTCTTCCTTTCAGTTTTCAGCATGATCTTTTATGCCAGTCAAGAAAAGTGTCCCTTAAGGCCCGAGTAAAAGAAATTTAAAAGAGCTGTTCATTTACCCAAAAACTCTACACTGAGTATACATCTGACAATTTCTAGAGCTTATTCTCCAAGTTACCAAATGTATTATTTAATTAGATGGTTAGATGCAAGCGTCTCCTTGAAGACAGCATGATCTTTTCAAGCCCTGTACAGAACTCTAAGGAGTTATATGCTTTCTTCAAGTAGAATCAAATGTGAAAGTTTTCACTCTGTGTTGTCAGACAGGAGGGAATTCTTACTTAACACGTAATTAGGGCATTCTGCTCATGGTAAGTAAAAATAGCACCTTGAGTTCAGAGATTAGATTTGATCCAGAGTCCCATGGTTTTCCTATTGTATTTCATACAGTGGCCCCCATGCTTCCTGATGTCTTTCAGTTGAGTCCACTCTCATAAAGAATCATGAAGTCTGTCATGCAACCCATCTGTATTGGGTTGCAGTTGCCCTGGGAGGGTTTGAGAAGCATATCTAGGTGAGAATAGCCTTATCTATTCTCCAAATTTCAGACTAACTGTTGGTGCCTGCAGCTTGCTTCATATACCACTGAATGGCAATTCACCGAGTATAGGAGGAGGAATACAACAAGACAGCTGAGTAACCTACGGTTTGCTGCTATTTCTCAAATGATTGTCTACCTAAATTCTTAGATTCAGTTTATGTAATCCTTTGGTGTTATATGCTGAACAGTATCCCTTCCTTTCTTTTCTTCCTGACCCAGAAGTCAAGAAGTACTACCCCTCTACAGTCCCTGTGTTCTGAATCAAATGAGTGGCAGAAGGAAGGGAAACCTTTTCTGTCATGCAACATTCAATCATTCAGAGACTTGGGAAGCTTGTATAGGTTTTATTATTTGAGATAAACAATTTAAAACCTATTAACTTAAAACTTCGTATTCTAGATGCTGCAGTACTCTGGCAAAATTGGTGCTCTTAAGAACGCTAAGCAAGAATCAAATAGAAAACATTGCTGGGGCCATTTAGGTTGAAAAGTAATTAGATCTGAGAAGAAGAGAAGAGCTTATTTGTTCTTCTATGTAAGCAGAATAGTATGAACGGAGTAAATGCTATTTATCTGAACTTTTGAGTGCTTCATAGCAGAATATATAGAGAGGAAAAAGCTGTTTTAATTATTTCAGAATTACAGCTTCTCAGTACGCTATCATGCTCGTAAAAGGGAGAGATACTTTTCAATTATTTCTCAATTTGAGGGAAAATGACCAATGTGCTATTTCAGCAGAATGCATAAATGTGTGAAGCTAGTGCTGTGTATATTTACACACTAAGAGAAAAGTAGGCCTTAATTTGATGAACTTTGGTTCTAGAGCTATTTAGGTTCATAACATTTGAAGAAGAGTTTCATTTAACTGCATAAGGAGAAGAGGATTATAGGTGATTTGATAGCAAAAGGGCAGAGACAATTTAGTATGCACATAATATTGTTATATGTTAATAGCAGTTTCAGTTCAGATGGTTGTGTGCTGTTTATATTCATAGCCATCCAGCCTTAAAACAAACAGAAGAAGATAGCTTTAAAAGTTTTTTTTTTAATCATTACAAAAAATAACAAATCAAGTATTAGGACACAGTGAGATAGGATAGAAAAGAAAGTGGAATATATTGGAGAATCAAACAATTTGGAGGTCTTAACAGATCACGACAGGATTTAGGAACAAAATCCCATTGTTCCCCAAAAACACAGGTACCTGCATGCATTAAAATACTTTATCTCCTTCCAAATAGTGATATTGGGACAATTTCTAGGAGCAGGGAGCCACATTGGGAAGAGCCACCAGATGGTCATCAAAAGAAAGTCCTCTTTGGTAAACATCCCATGACACACTTTGCCGCTAAACATCGTTTTCTCCAATATAACTTCTGCAGCTGTTATTTTACTGGGAGGTACTCAAGAGCAATGGGAGAGGCAGACCCACTTTCTGGATTATCATCTTCAGGGGGCTTTGGGATCATGCTGAAAGACTCTACAATGTGCATTCAAATCTTTTAGCTGTGGGAGCTGAATTGTCTAGATTCAGACCTCACGTGGACTGAGACTACATCAGCCAGAAGAGGAATGTAAAGGCACAGCTCTCCCTAGATGTTTGTGGACTTGTCTGCCTTTCACAGAACAAAGTTGGCAGAAACAGAAAAGGTAGACTTCTACAGATGCTGATTTCAGGATCGTGTCAGCTCGTACAATTTTATGAACTCTACCGTATTTGCCATCTCCCTAAAGACCCATCTCCCGGAGTAAAATAATCTTCCATGAGGATCTGAAGTTTTGTTCTGCAGTACAGATTGTCATCTTACTGGAAGTTGGGGAGGGGTAGCTTAAAAAAATTTCTGGTCTCATGGTTTGCAAAATAAATCTTGAAAAATGTAACCTAAAATGAAATTCAAGTTAAAAACAAAAGAATCAAATATTTTTTCTAAACCACTGTCATGATTTTGAAAGCTGTTTTGTGATTTTTGAGTGATTGAATTTGTTTCATCTTCCTTTTTCTTAGTCACATATTAGTTACTTACTGATTATATTACATTCTTAGTAAATTATATTTGCCTTGTGGTGATAGTAAAAAAAAAAAAGAAAGAAGAAAGCAAGTATATAGGAATTGGTCCTAGAATATTCATAGATTCATTACTATAGTGTGCTGTGGAGTTAAAGTTGCAGATGCTTTATGGGAGGGACAACTGTGATTTTTCACAAATCATAGGAATATGTTTAGTTTTCCACAGGCATCTATGGAAATACAAGTATTTATTATTTTCAGAGAGTAAGGAACCATTGCTTTCTGAAGACTGTATAAGCAACAAATGTCACAGGTAGTTGTGGGTGATTTAACTGCTTAGCAGATCAGGAGAACATTATATTAGTCAAGAAATGAGTACAGTTAGAAACAAATATGTCTGGAACAAGTAATTATTTTGGATGTATTTCTAATAGATCCATTCACTTTTCAGAGATGTGTGCTGGTATTTGTCTGAGATGTGCGTTCATATTTTCCCAAGTGTTTTTAATCACTGAAAGAAGAAGTTAAGAACAAAAATTAACATGCATTTAAAATAGTAATTGGTAACTGAAACAGATACATATGTGTAGGTAAATCTCATAGTTTTATTTTCTCTTAAATTAAATGCAAATTCAGTAGGTATACCATTTAGAAAATTGTTCCTAAATATATTAAGTAGATCAGATTTAATTTTTTGATCTGTATGGCAACTTTGAGACAGAAGAAAAATAGCCTTCAAAAACTTACAGCTCATAACTATTCAGCTGGCAGCTAGTAAGTTTGGCTAATGTTTATACTGACCTCAGTACTTTTACTCTAAGCATTATGTTGTTAGTTGTTCCAAATAACCTTGAACTATGAAGACAGGGTTAGTCTTTACAAGTCACATTTTCTGTGAAGTGGCTATTGGGGACAATCTTTGCTGTCAGATAAATGTTTCTAAAGGAAGAATTCATATTTAAATTGATATGCCTCCTTGAAAGAATGGAATCCCTAGTTCCTGTTAATTTCAGGAGAACTCTGTAGTATTATTTTTAAAATCTTTCAGATTTATTTTAAATAGCATTTACTTAAAGGCACCTTCTTCAGGAAAAAGCAAAAGAAAAAGGCTATGGAGAATGAAGTCTATTTTATTATGCCTTTTATGGCCTATTAATTTGTTACCATCTATTCTGCTTTGTTGATGAAATTTTCATTTTGCCCTTGCTTGAGCATATTGTAAGATTTGTATAAACTGCAGCTCACTGTGCTAACAAAAAGGCTCTTTTAGGATGAACAATTGGAGCTCATTTTATTTCTAGAGGACATTTAAAATGACTTATGAATGAGAGTTGTCAGACATGAAATGCTGTATTAATTAAATCTTATTCTAGTCTTTTTGCTTCTCCTGCTAAACCAAACCTTTAGAGGAAAAATACACGGCCACCTTAATTATATAGGAGAAGACAAAAAGTATCCTTCACATTCCTTCGCCTGAATAAGAATAAGAACTCAATTCATCTAAATAATAACCCCATTAGCTGCTTAACTTAACAGTGTACATGGGAAAATTTTCAACACAGAATGTAAGAAAGTGTTGATTGGGTGGATCATTTTCAGGAGTTTGTTCTTCTGATGTTCAAAATGATAATTTTAAGTAAATCTGATCTGGCAGGGTTATCAGCTTTGTACCATTTATGACTTGTGACAAAGGAGTGTTTTCATATGCATGCTAATACTTTCTTTATGTTTTGAAATACAGCAGCAATACCATTCAAAAATAGATGACCTGGTTGAAGAAACTGTTAAAGAAATTATTTCACTTCTTGTTTCAAAGGTAAAACAATTTAGATTTTTTATAATAATTTTTTATAATAAAACAGAAAATATTTGTGTTGAATTTCTGAAATGTCTTTGAATATCACAGAATTTTTCTATACTTTCTGCAATGAGACTGGGGGAGGGAAACATGATTTGTAAATAATACTCATCCAAATAACACTGAATTTATGAAATTAAATGTTATAAATTAGGAGAACACTTTCTGTGCAACTTGCTAATCAGATTAGTTTCTTGTTTGTATTATATTATAGATGAGAACTACGAGCACCTAGTAGAACTGATAGGACTTGATTATGTCAATATTATCCTTAGTAATAGCACCTTACTCTGATTCTGTTTATTATTTCACATAAAATTTTCCTTCTATCATTAAGTAACATTTAAATTATTGCGTGTGTAGACATAGATAACATGCAAAATATCTGTATAACTTTTCAATGACATTTTGCTCCACAAGCTGTTTAATTTAAAAATATTTTGTTAATTCTTGAAACCGACTTTGTACTTTTTAACACTTAAAGAGAAAATATGTTTTCACATGATATAAATATTTGGAGAATATGTGAAGAAAAATTAAACAATATCTAGTGGAACTGTCACACTTCTACTTCAGTAAAAATCTTAAGTGCTTAATATAAAAGAAAAAGCTTTCATTCACTAATAGTTTGAAGGATACAGCAAATGACACTGGGAAAACAGAAAGATTGTACAAGATGTTATGTTATTTATACATTGCAAACTATCTAGAAATGTCTGCTTTTCAGAACAGCAGAAATTAGATATATATTTGCAATTTGTGAATTAGAGACAAAAATAAGGCTGTTATCATATTTTCAGTATGCCTTTTTTTTCATTTGTTCACAGCTTGATAGCAGGCGGGGTTTCTACTCTGATTGACGTCCAGCATGCTTGCTGGATGGAAGTTTTTGTAGAGTTTTTGTAGACGTTTAGGCAAAATATGTCCAATTATTGACAAATATGTAAAAACAAAATTTTTTTTCTCAATCGTGATGGTTTTATGTAAATGTTATGTGTATATAAAACAAACCTACCAAACAGTTCCAGAGTTTCGAGTTCTACATGCAGTTTGACATCACTCAGGACTAATATATCAACTGATTTTTTTAAGTATTATTGAAGAAGAGGGGGAAGAGAGCAGAATGTAATGAGAGAGTAATTCTATTAAAAATTCGTCCTTGTAATTAAGCTGTTTTTAGTAGCTGAGATTATAGAAGATGGAAGAAAAGAGTCATATTCCTTGTGGATGTACGTAGAAAAAAATTCTAGAGACAATTACAAATCAGTACCAAGAGATTGGCATTAGTAGTTATCAGATATGCAATCGGAGGATGTTGAAGTCTCGGAACAGAGAGCATGTATTCTTTGTCGTTGGCTGATCATTAGAAGCTTAACCAGCCTATTCTCACTTGAGATGTGAAATGCCAATGATAGCCTGACTGCTTCCGTTTCAAGGAGGAAAGCCTCTGAGGACAAAGAGCAAGGCTGAGGTTTCACTCTTGGTTTCGATCAGGAAAAATGTCTATCAATGTGCATAATACTATGTATGTTCATTCTTTATCTAATGTATTTTAATTATTTCTTAGCTTTTGCCTCTGAATTAAAATGTATTTCCTTCATATTCCAATGAAATATGTTTCAGCATTTGTTTTTAGCTGTAACAGTCATATATGAAAATGAAAAGAATACTCTTAATTCAATGAGACTCTTCTTAGTAAAGATTAGACAGTGAATTGTATAGGCAAAACTTTCCGAGCTAAAACATTAAACAAATCACAGGAATAGCACAAGACAGTGAAACAAAGCGCAGAGTGTCTCAGGGTAGCCGCTTCAGAAAATGTGAAGTATACCCAGAAATGCATTTAGAGCTTCACAAGTCTGTACAGTGAGACCTCAGAAAAGAAGTGACCAGCTCCGTAACTAAGCCTTTCAGTTAAATGGCCATCCGTGAGACTGCAGTGTTTTGCTTTCTGTTTTTTTATACCCAATTTGTTAAAATCATTTGTTGACAGTGTGGACCCCACGTTGTCTGTGAAATCAGCCCTTTCCGTAGCAGATCCTTGCACGATAAGATTGAACACCCATTTGCAGAAAGAGTCCTTGTCGGTTAGATAAAATGCGCATGGAGACTGCCATGTATGAACAGCAGCTTCCCACAGGCATGCAATGGCAAAGTGGAGGGCTGGTATCTGGCCTAACAAGGCAGCTCCAATTATACTGTGCATGGGGTACAGAAACAACTGCCATTCTCTCTGGTTAGCTTTTGATGTAGTTTTATTTCTAGACCAGCACCTACATACTACAGGCTTAATTAATCACTATAAATATGACAGGTTAGATTGATAAATGAAAAATGTAGGTTTGCACTTGTTCTCACTCCTTGAACTGTTAAGAGCAGGGCTTATTGTAAAGTGATGATCTCGGTTCCTCTGGAGGTGACACTGTTGTGACACTGTTACAGTGCCCATTAGCAGCATGCCAGATGGAATTTGGTTCTGTCCTCACACTCATAAAATGATACTCGTGGTTGTGGGGATGACTGTATTGGGAGCAAGTGATGACTTTTAAAACAACCTTTATATAAACTGGAAGGCAATTCATATCTGAAAAATAAATGTGCACACCTGAAACAGCTGACAAATATTTTGTGTTATGCACCGTGAATGACATAACATTCACGGTGAGCAACATAACATCGCAAAGGAACAGGAGAAGGAATTTTCTTTGCTTTTAGAGCAATTTAGGGGAGTTTTAATATTAAGGCTACAGTTAATGCCAAGGCTTGGGAGATAGATTTTTTGTAGTCTCCAAAAATAAATTTTGGCCAATGGGCCTTTACAATACACTTATTGAAGAGTCACACTGCTCAGAGAATCAGAGGTGAAACTACTGGGCAAAGGCAACACACCATACTAGAGATCTGAGGCCTATCTATCCTGGCCCCTTGTTGGCCATGCAGTAATACATACTGTTCCTGAAGATGGACTGACAGAAAACAGCGGTGCTATCACATTGTTGGATAAAATCAGCCTTGAATTTCCACTGAATAATGAAGGTAAGAGAAATGTGATATTGAGATAATCAGCTTTAACAGTTGTGCTCCTTCATTTTCAAAGCTATGATTTTAAAAACTGTGGTCTTAGAAAATAACAAGTGTGTTTTCTGCCCAAAATACACATTGGGTAGGCACACTCCTGTATTTAACCACACACTCTAGAGGCAGCAAAGTGGTATGGATTAGCAAACCCGCCTTAGGAGAATTTTGGGGCTGAGTTTCTATTTCTGCAGCAGTTGCGTTGTGATTTCCATCAGTTCAATTTCTAGGTGAAACCAAAGAAAATGCTATGATTTCAGCACTTTGTGAAAGGGAGTAGATGATCATATTTAGAGGTTGCATTGCCTTGTTGCACAATAAAAGCCTGATGAGGGAGAACTCACATTCTCATCCAAAATATTTTATTTTGATGTTGTGCTGTTGGATTTTGTTTTGTGCTTTTCCTCCAGGTTGTTTCAGTGTTAGAAGGTGTGCTGTCTAAATTGTCAAGATACGATGAAGGCACTTTCTTTTCATCATTGGTTTCATTCACTGTAAGTGTTTGAGTTCCTAATGTTATTGAGTTTCAAATTACGCACAATCCTTAATTATAAGCACTTATTGTGTGCTGTTTTATTTTTAATTTTCTAAAGGTGAAAGCAGCTGCAAAATATGTTGATGTTCCTGTAAGTACGACCCTTTTTATACTTTTTCTGGTGTTAATGACAATTCACAAAAATAGGGATTTTGTTAGCTCACATTTTTCATTGTTGATTCATTATATTCAGAGATTCGTTATAGTTTTACACAGTATTTAAACAGCCACTACAGCCCTCAGATGGCATTTCATTTCCCTTAAGCAACCAGTAACTCTCAAAGCAAAGCTTAGAAAGGTTATTCTCAATGTACTTTTTCAGTTGTGGAAGAGTGAGGATTGTAACCTAGATACTCTTTTATAGGAGACTTTCCAACTTTTGGATACATTGTTCAAATGTACAGGATAAGCAACAAAGAAAAGTATCATCTTGGGCTATCCATTTTTCATTAATTTCTTACTTCAGGACCAAATCTTGCATTCTTCATTTAATCCCTTGTTTTCTGAATCCCTGTTAGATTTCTCGTTGTTTATACAATGTTCATGTGGTGTGAATAAAAATTAAAAATGTGTTGCTGATGTAGCTATTTTATATACAAAAACAAATTTCAGCTATTGTGCATTAGAATATTTTTTTCTTTAAAAAGCAAGAAAGAAGTTATCAGACAGATATTGTCAATATTACTATCAAAAATATCCTTTGTTCTTTCACAAATCTGTGTTCTAGTTGCTTTTTAATATGATTCTGAGATCTTATTTGCCAAGCATAGGAAAAAGAATGATTAAATTGATGATGTTAATGACATCGCAAGAAATACAATTACAAATATAGAAGAATCCCAGATATGCTAGTCTGTATAGCAGCTAAAAATCTTTTCAACAATTCTGTACTTAAAAATATAATACTTACAAGCATACGTTAATTATTTTTAAAAATTCATGTATGCTAAAGGAAAGGAAAAATTACTATTTCTGGAAATTGTTATTTTTTCTTTATTTTATTGTCTCTTTATTTATTCATAAGGTAACATATTTCAACATTTCTCTTCAGATAATGTTTTCAGCATTTTTTTCTTATTTGATTGCAAATTGATTGTTTTCTTTATGTTGAATTGTATAAATGCTCTTCTGTTTTTTTAAAGAAAAATAGCCCAGTCCTGCATTCAAAGGGATGACCTCAAATCCAGTTCAGTTCATTAGCATACCTCTTGCTAGTATTTTATGCTATGAAACTGCCCAAAAGGTCCTTGACGAAGCACTTAAGACTCAAAAGCCTAAGGAAAAAAAAAATACTTAGCAAACCAGAAATTCGTGAATTTCTGTCAGCTTCCCTCTCCACATTACATAGAATATCTGTGAGAAGGAGCTAGCAAGGGCTTTGTTCATGGTCCTGGGGGTGTTGACCCTGAACAGTTACAGTGATAAAGATAAGACTGAAACCCACCTTTGCCGCATGCTCATGGAGCCAAGGGAATATTGTGAGTCAGATCCAAAGTGATGCTGCTCCTGCGGAAGAGGAGGGGGATAGAGCGGAGCTGGCTGCTGGAGCTCTGCTCTTGTCCCCACTTCTGCTGAGTGCTTTGCTTGTCCTGTGGGTGAGACCATTCGTTAGACTGACAATTGTTATCCTCACATTTTTACAACCCCTTCCCTTTTCAGCTATCCCAGACACCTTTCCTGTAACCCAAGACTGTAAACTGCATTTTGGAAAGGCTGCAGGTCTGGCCAAGCAAAGATTTTTCAAACTCTGGAGGATATTTTTCCTGGCTTGAAGGAATTTGAAAGGAATTTGGAAGGGTTTGAGATTCAGTTTTGCTTCTTCACATTCTTCCATCACTGTGAAAATACAGTTGAGGCAAAGAAGAGGAGCAGGGTCCTGCCGCTACTGCCACAGATGGCAGCCAGAGACCCATGGAAAATAGAGTCTAAAATCACTACCTGTAGATAATACATAATCTGACCGCAAAAGGAGGCCTTAACTCATCACATTGCAAGGCGTCTCTTGAACTCAGAAATGAGGTGAGAAGTGGCGATGTGGCAGCACAGGCTGAGGAATTTATTCTGAGCTCTTGCTCGTGCGATGGTAACCTAGCAAGCCTGCACTAAAGCTAATTAAATGCCTGTTGTGTGAGTGTATTTTAAACAGATATCACTTAAATTCTCTTTCTGTCCCTCATTAGCACACACCTGCATATCTTGTAGTGACTTAAAGGTGACCACAGTGGGGCAAGGAATGAACACTTCTAAAACCTTATTCTGTGTTTGGATTTAGATTGCTTGAAGTGATGGATGGCTTGTCTGGACCCCAAAATGCATCCCTTTAATTGGATACAGTTTCAAATATGTGAGAAATTACACTTTGTTAGATGACCACATTCTGCCCCTGCTGCTCACCTTCATTCAAGGATCTCTTTGGGTCACTTCAACATTGTCCTTGGAGTCTTCAAAGCAGAGGCTGTTGATTACTTGGTGGATCAAGGGGTGGATGCTTAGGGGCATGGAAGGGCAAACAGCTGTTATTTTTTTTCATGTGTGTGAGTACAACAGAGTTTTTGATCTTTGACTCTCAGGCTGAATATTGGGCAAGGGGAAAAAAAATGCTATTTTATAGGGAAATAAGAGGAAATTAACTTTCCAAATAGATAAAAGAGATGTCAAGAAAAAATAAATATAATAGTAAACAGAATGTTTTAGACGTAGGTTGAGATAGAAAGGGGCTAAAAGAGTGGAAAGGTTAAAAAAAAAAAACAGAAATAGCAACAGATTAAGAAAGACAAAGGACATTCTTGGATGACTCATGGTCATTTTCAGGAAAAGGTTAATTCTATTAATATCAATAGGCAACTTAGATGTTAAGTAAAAGATAAACACTCCCCAGAAGGCATTCTTCAACTTCTCAGGGCCAGTATGGGAAATGCGGACTCTGACCTGCAGTTTATTTGGCAGATTTTTTGTTGTAAAAGTATTCAGTATTGCTGTCTACCCCTCTGTTGGTTAATCTTTGCAGCGAATTATGAATAACTCCATCCAGAGAAGTGGAATCCTCTTTTTTTAACCTATTTAAGAAAACATCCAAAATAAGTGTCCATTTTTCAATACTCTCTAGTAAGCAGGATGTGCACAGTTACAAGGAACATTCATTGATCTCCCCTGGCACTCACTGTAGGGCACTATGTCAGTTTTCTAAACTGAAACCCCAACAGAAATATTAGGAACAGTACAAAATAATCCAGCGTAAGAAGAGTAAATGATATCTTATCTTTATCTTACTGAAAATGGGAAAGATAATAACTGGCTACCATTATGTCACTTATTTTTTTGGTAATTCTCACAGTATGCCATGCTCTAAGGTGAAAGAAATTATGGCTGCGGTGCACATGAAAGAAAGCAAATGTTTGGAGAAAAATAACACAAAAATTGCAACTATCAGTAATATATCAATTTGTTCTATTGGCAATGCTATGTTTAGACACTCAGGAATGTGGCAATGGTATGTTTTGATGTTTGGGAATGCAAGATCCAATTTAGGTTAGTCAAAATTTCTTTTAGAACAGCTTTCCCAAGTCTCCTATAGTTCTTTGTTACCTTTTCTTAAAGCCCAAGCAGCCATCAGGAGATGCAGAAGTACAGTTCTCATCTTTTGTTGTAATGATCTACTCACATAGCCATTAATTAATGAGAATAGGGAAAAAATGCAATAGAAATGAGGGCAAAAAAGTGTGCTGTTAATCTCAAAAGATTATTGGTCCTAAAGCATATACATAATTTCATTACATGTTCAGTTCTCATTAGGTGTGTGGGTCGGTGCACAAAAATAATTGCATATCTAGCTGGTCATTTCTGCACACGTCTACCTACTTGATAAACATAACCGGAGTAGCTAGTTATACAAATTGAGCATTTAATTACATGCATATTTATATACTTCTTATTGTTCAGAAAGGCATGTTTAAATCCCTTTGTAGGAACCAGGAATCTCTGCTCGTCTTTCTGAGGGCGCAGAAGGAACTGAATCCCCCCTCGGTTCACATAGGCCATGTGTTGTGCCCAGCACATGGGGGCCACTGTGGGGACCAGAGCTGACACAGCCAGTACATGGGGGCCACTGGGGGGACCAGGGCTGACACAGCCAGCACACAGCACGCATGCAGCCAGGCCTTGCACGCTACTCTTGCTTTTGTGCAGGATCAGAGTTGTGACGAGAGGCCTCAAAGATAGCCCAGCATTTGACTTACAGGGTCCTGTAGAAGCCAGAGAGAGAACTCTGCCTTCTACCAGGCACATACGCATTGGGGTCTTCCATTTACCTCTGTTTCCAAAATTCATACTTGTATTGCATAGCCTCATTTAACTGGTTTTAAGTGAAAGACTCTTCTGGGAAATCAGCGTTTATTGAGGTGTGGCAATACTGCGCCATTCATTTTTGAGCAGGATTCACTTGGAGTTGTTATCCTCATGCTCAGTATTTTTCGTCCCTTCTTCCTCCTCCTTTGCATACCCAAACCTAGGAACTCGCCCTTCTGTTTCCAAGCCCATAGAAATAAACTACTGCAGAACTGGAAGGAAAGCTCTGCATTGTCTGTTTTAAGGCAGTCACACTTCTGAAATACCTCTTAAATGGAGCTCAAAAGGATGGCTACTAATCAGCTGGAAAGTTAAAATAATGTAGTAGAACATGGTGGTTTCAGAAAAAAAAAGTAGAGTTTAATACCAGCTTTTGTCATAGTAACTGCAGCTTCTTGAAGATCCTTAACACTAGAGAATTAAGATCATGATGCAAATACTTGCACACCTCTGTTGCCCTGTGGATTCAATGAAACTATACATATATGAAAAGGCGTTTGCATAAATGCTTGCAGAATCGCCACTTAAGTTCTGCATGACAGTCTTCTCTTAAAATCCACGCCTTTACTCAGTGCCAAGGTTGCTTCTTAATCTACAAAATGTATAAGAAGCAAGGAAAATGCATTGTGCTTTTTCATTTAAGCAAAATAGAATTTTTCATAACCTTGTAAGGAGAAAATGCTACCTTGGAAGTAAACTGATTATACAAATGATGGATCCTTCTGCCTAATTTATATATTTTGCTTCGAAGGGAGTGAGGATCTTGTGATGGGTACCAGTGGTTTCTATTCCAAAAATATTTTAACGATATTTTAATGATATTTTAATTCAAAAGCCCAAGTGACAAGCCACGCAGTATACAGAGGAGAAATTTCAGCCAATGAACTTTTCCAAATCCCTCTTTTATTGGATAGTGGACATTTAATAAGGAGCTCCTACACTTCTCACAGTAGCCTCCTCCACCTCATCACGCCTTTTCATTTCATTATAGTATCAGTGCTGTGGTTAAAATGTCTCCCTCCAGCATGCAGAGAAGAGGAACAGAGTAGAGAGGAGAGCAAATATAAAATACAATAAGGTTTGTTATTGTATAGCTGGTCTGTAATGTCTCTTCTAATCCCTTAAAAATGAATGCTTTGACAAGATAGCAGCTCGGTAAAACTTGTTTTTTTCTTGGTAATATCAGGATGTGAGTACGCATAATACTCTGTGCTGCTAAGAAACATTCTGTGACAAATGTCGAAGCGAGAATAAACATAACTCAAGTATTTATAAATGGTTTTTACTGAGATTTGTGAGAAACTATTACCTTGTAAAAGCTGTACAGAAACTTAGCTGTGTCTCTTCTGTAAGGAGAGGCAGTACTATTAGTGGCACTACTATTAATGGCAGTACTAAACTTGTGGCAGACCTTTCAGCAGCAAAATATTGGAATGCCTGAAAATTGAGACAATGCAGCATTGCTTTTGAGTAGATGCCAGAGGCAACCCTTGCTAATGGGGGCAATGCATGCTTTCAAATTAAGTCAGTCATAATATAGCTTCTATATCATCTTTGAAACTGGAATAATGTATTTAAAAATTTGCCTCTTTGTTAAATACACACTATGACAGTGTTTTCCTGTTTTACTGTGAAAGGTTAAGCTGTTCCTTCTTTGTCTAAATATGTTACTATGAAAAAATGACTGTGGAGCTGGATCCACCTACCAGTGAATGGTAAAAGAGACAACCTGCACCTGTGGGATTAGGTGTAACAGCAGGAAGTAAGAGCACTTGCAGTATATAATTAACAAGGAATTTTTTTTTTCCCCCCAAACAGCATGTTCATCTTGCTAGGTTAACTAGTGATTAACCCTAAAAAAGAATGTGCTGAAGTCTACACCCTTGTTTAAACTCATTCACTTGCCAGTGTATTCAGTTACTTGTGTAACCAGCGACAAAGTAACCCTATTTACAACTCTTCATTTCCTGGTATTTTATTTGATGTCTTTGTGTTTCCAGTTTTTCCATTCATGTCTTTGTTTGATTCCCTTTCATTTTCAGAAAAGCAAAGCATCTTGTCCTCTTTTCTGAATAAGACAAATAAATGTTCAATAACTTTTAATCAATTATAAAATATACTTTTACTTTTTTTTTCCTTGGGAAAGTTTTCAGGCTGAATATCTTTTTTTTTACACTAATCCAGATTATATGCCAGGTTAAATTTTTCTCTCAATGACCTGCAAGTAGTTTCTTCTCATTAACTACAGCAGATATTCTACCGGAGTGTCAGAGGAGGAGAATTTTATATTTTGGATATAAAAGTGGAAACCGAGTTGCTCACAGTCTGCCCACTCTTAGCAATAGAATGTCTACTGCTACTGATGTGACAGTTACTTTAAATATATCTCAATATCTATTTGTTTGTCTTTTAAGGTGCACCCAATTGCTTTTTTTTCTTCTCTCTCTTTTTTTTTTTAAGAACATAAAATTCTACATTAGCTTGGTTTTGGGGGGGAAGGGGAGGGGGTTACTTATGTGCAATAGTTCAAAATAGGAGAACAATGATTGTGTCGTATAATCAGAGGTTCACATCTAATACGTAACCGCTATGAAAAAAACAGTTAAACATGTAATATATAGCACTATGCCTATTTTAGGGCTTATAATAGCTTTATTTTCTTTTTTCACATGTTTAGAGAAAACAAATAAAATCAGTGTATCCAGTATGGAGAGGTAATGAAATATTTGATAAATCATTTGTGCATTCAGTGTTTAAATAGTTTGTTTTGCCTAGCATATACAGATGGTTAGCTTGCAATGATTTTAGTGAGTTTTTAAAAAAGACCCCCATACTCTTGAATATTGCGAATCTTCCTTATCCAGACATCCTACTGTAAGCAGACACTGTTTAAAAAGAAAATTAATTTTTTTCCACAGCAATTTCAAAGATAATTATCCTGCACACATTAAAGAAGAATGAAATGTTTTAAAGAACTGTAATTCTAATTGGTAAATGTCACCAGCTGTTACAGTTACTCTTACTTGTGTGTATTCTTTTAATGATTACGCTCTTGTGCCACAAGCTACATGAAAATATATTCACTAGGTGTGAAATTCCCATATGTCACAGCTTCAAGACTAGGTAAACATCTCAAAGATAAGGGGAGAGTTGATGCTGATGAGAAATGTTATTTTTGTAGCTTTGGCTGCCTACAAGGCAAACATTTCTTTACTGAACTTAGTAACAGAAAAATGTGCATGGATCAGAAAACCATTAGGTTTCAGCATTCAGTGGAAGATTTCTTTTTACGTTTGAATATTTACCTCCAAGAACTATAATCAACTCTTCATCTGTTATATTACCTCCTCTCCCACCCCCCACCCTGAGATTTCAAAATATTTTCCCATTATCCCTCCAAGTTAGAACTAGTCCTGGTCCTATAAACTACCTATCAGGCTTTAGCAAGTCCAGAAAGTTTCATCTGTGACTGGTTGCATTTTTGAAAACCGTCTCAAATGGGTATACTAAAGGACTATATCAAGTTTTCTGTTTTAAATCTCCTTCACTTTGTGATTTACTTTAATTTCAAAATATTTCCATAAAATTTTAATGAAAAAGGTACGTTTTTAAGAATGAAATCTATTGATTTCTGTGAACCATGTTTTCCAACAGAGAACTATTTTATCTATTTTTATTTTACATTTTTATTTCTCTGCCTGAGATCATGCTCTGTGAACTCAGGATATAAATGGTCCTGCCTTTCATATAGATAGCTGTATGTAAGTGGTAAGATTTAAAATGAGCTTTCTTTGCCTCTAGAATAACCGCTCTAAATGTGCGGAACACATCATGTTCTTCAGACTTAATTTTGGAGAGGCTAGGAGTGTTGAACCAGATCATCATGCCATGTTTAACTGTTGTGTTTAAGACATTGAACCGTCATTCATGCTAATGTATAAATGAAAAAGCAAATCTTCTATTTTGGATCATCTTCCTAAATGTGCTCCATGGTAGATTCAGGGAAAAGAAAAGTTGATGATTCAGGAGGTTTCATTTATTGCAGTTTTAAATGGAGAACGTTCTCAAATATTTCATCCCATTATTGTCATGGCAGTTTCTGGACAGGCAACTGTTTGGGCATTTTGCACCTGTCCTGCTCTTTGGTGCGCAAATCTGATTATATACATTTTAATACATTACCTACACAGTAATAAGGAATGAGAAAGATAAAATATTATCCACTTGTAGAATTAAAAACAAGCCTTAATATAACATTATTTGTAAATATTTTAACTATATTAACATGCTTATACATACAGCTCTTTAAAATGTGTGAAATATTTTATTGTAACAGCTTTTTATTTATGCTGTTACTCAGACAGGAACAGCTTCCTTAGAAACAGAGACGACTTATGCCTAGGAATACAGGGACTGTATATAGCTGCTTCCCTCCCCCTTCCCCCAAACTCTTTAATATTCTGTGCAGAGCCAGTCTTAACCAGATCTGAATCTTCTTATAAATAGCTTTGTGGTGGTGCTTACTGTAAAGTAAGTTATTATACAACTTAACCTTGTTTTGCATGCTATGAATATTATTTGGGACAAAAGATACTTTTTACAAATTTGCTCAAACACACAGCATTTACAGAAGACTTCCCGAAGTGCTTATGTTCAGTCTTGGCCGTGTTAGAGAAGGTGAGCTTCTGACCAGCTCTGCATTTGCCACTGTGAAAGGGGATATTGCTGGCTGCAAGGAGCACCTTTAGTGTAAAACAGCATTTTGTGGATGCAGCGGTTCGGAAATCCCAGCTGGGCAGCAGAGAGCACTTTCAACGCTATTTTAGCCAGACTGGCATAGTTTCGCAGCAGGACAGCAAAGCCTGACATTTGGGAATGTGGTTCGAAAGATTATGCCTGCTCTGCTATGAATAAAGGACTTGGACTGGTACAAGAAGGGAAACATTACAGTCCCTGCTCCTTCCCTAGTCATCCTCTGAGTTGATTATGCCAGTGCAACGGTTTCAGAATAGGGCTGCAGTTCTACGCTCATACTAAGCTTTTTATGCCATTGTAACTCATTTGTTTTCCATAAAGTGCTTTAACTTGATTTGAATTGGTATTTTTAGAACTCTGTTAGACTAGAAACTGCTCTCAAACATGAAATTTGGCTGCACATTGAAATGAAATTACAACAAATCTGAGCCAATGCAAAAGGAACTGAAAGCTGCTTTTTAACCATTTTATGAATCTGGTGGCAGAATCTGGACCTTGAAGGAGGTTCTGAGAAACTCACTAAGGACAAAGTGGGGAAAATCAAATTTTGCCATGGAAGTTAACCGAGTCAAGATTTGACTCTATGGCAGCATACAGTATGACTCAAAGCGTTCATAAATTATGAGAACTTTATTAGGAATGAACTAACTAGCTCCTGAACTCGGTAACTAATCCAGAATTCACAGCAAATTTAGTAACTATGAACAGTATATGCATATCTGAGAACTGTAACATAATCTCAGTCTGAATTATGATTAAAAATAACTTCATGTAAATCTCAATTGTTGTGCGGTCTTTCTCTTCCCCCCCACTATTGTGTCCCCTTGCTCTCACTCTCCACAGAAACCAGGAATGGATCTAGCAGATACCTACATTATGTTTGTTCGACAAAACCAGGATATACTTCGAGAAAAGGTCAATGAGGAAATGTACATAGAGAAGTTATTTGACGTAAGTAACTACCCTTGTAATGTTTGCTAGCATCGCTACTACACTGAAAGGGATAAGCTGCATTTTGTTTACATTCAGCAAGCTGATCAGATGCTTTTTCAGGTTGATCATTCTTCTTTGGTTTTTGTTTATTGTCTTCAGCTATCAAGGATGGCCTTTCTTTAAACATTTTCTTCATGGAAATTGTAAGTCCTAGAAGGAGTAAATAAAAATGTTAGAAGAGTATTATTTGAAATATTCATTTCTCCACTGTAAGTTCCAATTTCATTCCGTCTTTTGATTTTGAATCTGTTAAACAGAGTTAGATCGATGTGGTTTCTTTGAACCCCACTTTAGAGTTAATTTCCCTAAATAAAGACCTTGTACCTATTGTTCTTTAAAGAAAGAAGGCCAATTAAGCCTGGTGCATTTATGAGTTTGACTGGTACTTCCATGGAATGAGTTTTAGGAATTAGTTTGATGACATTTTTAGTGTAAGACTTCTAAGATCTTGAAGTTGGCCAGATATTTACTGAATTGTGGATTTCCAAATTCTTGATCCTCTTTGTAAACGTTCAGCATAATCCTCTTCCTCAAGACCTGCACATTGCTAGCCTGTCTTTGCTCCGATTTCCTTCAACTTCTGTACTGGCTTCCACGGTCTCCTTCCAGCCATCCCTTTCACTTGATTCTTCCTCTTTTGTTAGAAATGGTCGCCTACTCTACCAAAATTTTCCTCATACAGGGCTCTCCTATAAACTCTCTGGGCTCTTGGGCGTAATTTTGCTCATTCAAGTTCTGAGTGCTAATTTTTGTCTAGCATGTCCCTTTCTTTGTTGGTCAAACAAAAAACTTTTAAGAGGATGAGATCATGTCTTTTATATAAATTTAAACCACTGCACATATAAAGTATGAATCAAATACAATGTATTTGATTATAAACTTGAGTCAACGTACGTGACAGTGACATCGGTAATGTAATTATGTCGGAATTCGAACAGGCAAAAAAAAAGGTCTCTGATACTGTACGATACAATTTGTTATAATACCAATTCTGTAACATAATATACAGTTCGAAATGTATTTATTTGTGTGCCATCTCCTAAGCATTTTAGAAAGCTTTGCTGGCAGTTTCATTTAATTATGCAAGTTACACCAAATGTTTTCATAACAGCAATTCACAGCCTTTACTGTGACACTACAGTTGCGGCAGTCGTAGAAGGTCCCATAACATAGACTCTCAGCCATGGTATGTCATGTCAGTGTTTGTTGTTTGTTAGACTGGGTGGTCAAAATGAGACTTATCTCTCAGATTTTATATTTCAAGACACTCCCAGGCAGCTTTGCAAAAAAAAAAGTATCATCTGTTTTAATAAGCTAAGTGCTAATATGTGTGAAAGGAATGATTTTATAAAAGCTTTGATGCCCTGCAGGGGTAGAAAAATTATCATCCATCCAGCTGGCACCTTCACAAAGTACTAAAACCGTATTAGCAACTTCTGCTTCAGTTTGCTTTTGCACTGAATCTGCAAGCATATGTTTCATTTTCAAGTTTCCATTTTTTGTTTTTCTTTGGGGTTATTTTTGCTTATGTTGTAATTTTCTGAATGTTAATAAAATTATGTGCCTAGGGCCAAGTCTAACTCTGATTGGAGAGACCACATTGACTTTGTTGATGTAGTGGAGTTGGACTAAACCTTAGTCTATGTCCTTAGTAGCAAACTAAAGAGGGTCAGGGCACAGGCCTGAGAACCAGCAAGAGATTATCCATACTGTTAAGCTATTAGTGTGGGTCCTGGCATGATTTTGGGTTAGGCCAGCTAGCACTAATCCCAGACAGAGCCTCAGTATGTTTGGGGTTAGCATGGGTCAAGGACCTCTTCCAAGTTAATTTCAGCCATCAAGCTTTTCAGCGCAAGAAAACTTAGCTGTGTGTTTGCAAGCCATGACGTACCACTTGCCTTTGAGACATGAAACCATCACTGCCTCCTTTTATTCAGTAGTATGCTGTCATGGCTAATGCCTATAGCTGTAAGGGAGAAAAAAACATATGCATGGTTGTTGAGGCGTGATAAGTATTCTGTGAATACAAATATCTTTTTTTGTATCTTTTATTTGCATATGACGGTATCTCATTTCTGCATAACATCATATTGGGAGATATAAACAGTTAAACAAAATCAGGTAAATATAGTAACAAATACATAAGCTGATAGTGCCCAGAAATTGGAAACAAAGGAATCCCACTGTGTAAACTCACCTTTCCTGAGATTACCTCAGATCTAGAACAATATATTGAGCAAGGTTTTACCCATGATTTTTGGAAGGAGTTTTTAAAGTAGTAGTTTCACAGAAATTATGTACTGTTCATAAATTCAATTCTATCAAGTTATATTGTAATAGAAAGAATTTAAAAGGTTTAAGCTTTATATAAATATAGTTCAGACCATTTGACTCGCCACAGCTGCAGATCTTTTTTTTCTTTTTCTCCTTAAAATACATTGTATTTCTGTCAGATGAGAAAACATCAGCCAAGAGGAATAAGAAAAGTGCGTGCATGTACTTCAACCAGGGAAACAACCCATTCAGAATGATCAACAAGCTAGACTATGCTGAATGTGGCAGATATCAGTACAGACAAAATCAGGCCTTAGATGCTATTTTAATCCAAAAATGTGTGCTTGCAAACTAGTTGTGCGTGAACTTCATTGATATGATTCAAGGTTGCTATGTACAAACAGCTGCAACAGTGACCAAGGGAGTGGGATATGTGTCATATGAAGCAATATATATATCAAAGAAGATAATTTAAATTGAAGAATAGTATTGCTATAAATAGAAATGGCCGAAAATGAGACACAAATACATTGAAGCTAGAAGTTGGAAATTTTCAATTTGAGATGTTCTAAAACAGTCTTCTCAAATCAGGGAGAAAGCAAAAAAATCTACACTTCTTTATGGTGGTGCTTGATAAGCCTGGAAAAGGCATTGCCATGGTAGACAAAATAGGACAATTCAGGAAAATAAAATTTAAGTGGTGATATGAATCCTTATGTGTGAGATATGCTGAAGTCTACAAAGGGCTTTGAAAGCAGATAGGACTGCTGAGGATTTTTTGCACCACTTTTAAATGACTTAAAACCTATGCTCCAGTGTCTCTACTGATCATGCAGCAGAACAAGGTTGCTATGTTTTTTCTTTTCTTTCCTCTAAATAACTTGGTATCTGGGTACATTTCATTCTTCATCTCCTCTGAAAGAGTTACAGAGACCATGCATGGTAATATGGACTGGTGCTCCTGGTAACATCAGTCTCTCATGGATGCCCAACTAGTATGCCTTGTTGCTGTTCTCAAACTTAATCAGCAGATTTAGAGTCACAAAGAGTTTTTTTTCCCTTGAAGAGGTGGTCAGAGACCCTTCGGACTTCTTGCTTTCCTTGCAGTATGGGGTTTGGTTCTCTTCTGGGGTCATCTGGGAATTTTATCTATCAAATTCCTTCCTGTTGCAGGTACTTAGGATGTTTATTCTGTCTTTTCATCTCTCCTGCTCTCGTTCTGCGGTGTATTGTAGTTGAGGCTTTTGTTTTTTCACTGCAGATCTTAAAGAGTGCTGAAAAGGTGTTGTGGTGTGCAGTACATGTAGGTGGGCTATAGTGACTTGGGATTAATATTCCACATTCAGCTCCACGTTCACAATTCCTGAATGCTTAGTTCAGTGATCCATGTAATCTCTTCCAATCTCATATTCCACTGAAGTAATCTAGAACAATGAAGTTACAGTGGAATAAGTTTCCATCTCTAATAAATCCAAATAAAGCAAACTCTTTCTAGCATTAATGCTACAATGACTCAGGCAGATGCAGCGTATGACAAGTAAATCGTGAAGACAGGCATTCTTATGTTTGTTTAACAGTAAACATTTTTAGTTATGATTCAAAGCATCACACACTGAAACTTTATTTTAAATGTAATCATTTATAATAAGGAGTGATTTTTTAAAATAATGTTTAATAAAGCATTTTAGAAACAAAGTTATACTTTGAAAAATGCAGTAAGAGTGGCACTTGGCAAACAGGAAAGTGAAATATATAAATGGGACTATACAAATCTGCAATAAGTCTACAGTATCACTAAATAGAATAAGGCCCATCTTATTTATAAGAATGGCTCTATGTATCTGGCCACAAATTTTACGGATGAAATTAATATCCAAATATAAAATTCCCATTGAGTCTGATTCTATACTATCAAAATCTATGGGGATTTTAACACTTGTTTTGATAAATCTTTAAAGATTGCAGAATATCATCACTGGCTGGACTTAGATTCATGTTTCTACCTGAATTTTTAAGATGGGATTAAAAAGTCTCCCTACTCCTACGCATTTTAAATGGCGTTGGACTTCTAAATTAAAAGCTATCTACTTTAAAACAAAATTGGATTTTGCTAACAAGCCCCAGCTTTAAAAAAAAAAGTCATTCTTTTGTGTAAAACATATGGGTTGATCCAGTTCTTACCTTCTGTAGTAGTGTAAACTTTTTAAGTGTCACTTTAATAGATTTCACACTTTCTTGTAATTGTTAATTGCACCCAAAGTATAGATATCCTTGTCAGAATAGAAAAAAAGTATTTCAAAAAATATGCTTGGTTTATTTGTCGTGAAGAGCATTATCCTATAGGTTATATTTGTGTCAGGTCTGTTGTGAAAAACTTGGAGTGTAAACCTAGATATGATTCTAATTTTATTAAGATTATATATATAATGAGATTTTTAATGCAAGTAATTGATTGCCACTGTAAGAAATAAGTAATTGCTTAGGAGAACAGTTTCAACTCGTAAACGTCTAACCATTGAGATAATTTAGAAGTTTTCTAACTTATTTTAAGGCTTTAATTTCTGGAAAGCTGTGCATAAGTTTACCATAAATATGTAGCGTACTTATATATACTCAAGATCACCATGAAAAGGTCCATATTGGCAAACAGGTCACCTCCTTCTCTTGTACAAGGTGGCACCTGG